GTGAAATATTTAAGGAATGGCTTTATCAGTTTCACATCCCTGGTGAGTTTCCATGACCGAATGGGGATTTGAATCAGCAAAAAGATTACAGCCAAGAATTATACAAAAAAGGTAATACGTACGACTACATCTATGAAAATATAATATTTATAACTTATACCACAAAGATTAAAAAACATATTTGCTGAAAAGAAATAAGAAGGAAACTGTTCCTACCAGTTAAACACAATCTATGACAAAACAGCTCAACAAACAAATGCCTGTGTGGATAAGAGTCTATTTTTTTCTCTTGTCTCTGAATATCGAGGTCTTCCGGCTGACATCAAAAAGTCATAAATCTGGCCCATCTGAGTGTTTTTTGTGAATTCATGACAAGCCACATACAACCGCAAAAAGTTCATCAATGTTTTCTCCTCAAATGACGTTAATTAGTACTGTTCACTGATTAAGCACTCTTGCTCAATTAACAATCTAGCTTTCTATCAGTTTGTGGATGACATATAAATGCCTCTTTCAACACAGATGGTCTTTGTGCGGTGTTGTGAAAATACACGTTTGTATTTCAAAACCTATCTCAACTATTGGTGCCTTAGCCAAAAAAAAGAAAAAAAGGAATGCAAGAATAACTTTCTGCAAAATCTAAGAAAAGCCAGCTTCTAATGAGTTATCAGACCAGCCATGTTCAGATTAATGTATCTATTTATTTTTACATCTACATTTTAATATCAATACTAACTCAAAGTATTTTAAGATGAATCCAGGATTGTATTTCAATTGCTCCTTCAATGTCAATGGGACTCCATTTGTACTGAAAAGGCACCTGTTCATTAAAATTTTTTACAACAGCTGATGACCGTAAAATTAACAGGCAGTCTTAACAAATTTATTACGGCATAAGCTTTCATGGGCCACAGGCCACTTCATCAAGTACATGGACTATCCTGCTGAGCTGGCAAACAGTTACAAGGGGGGGGGCGCCCTCATGACCGGGGCAGGTGGCGTTTCTTCCCCCTGATATTTCAGGATTTGTTAGCTGAGATTTCAGGATGGGAAGAAGACGACAGCTTAAGTCCAAAGGGAATGAAAGGGAAGAAAAATAGGCGGTGTTGATAACTGCTGGACAGCCCCATGGTTTAGCATCTGGCTGCAGAGCCAGAAGTTGGGAGTTTGATTCTCCTATTCGGCTTCCTTAATAAGAGCTGGATTCAGTGATCTAGAGGGGCTCCTTCCAGTTCACAGGTTATTATATCAACACTGAGCTGGATCATGTAAAACAGAGGGGAGCAAACGATGTCCCTCCAGATGCTTGTAGGACGGCCTCGCCCACCACTCCTGGCCGGCATGGCCCATGGTGAAGGATGCTGGCAGTTGTAGCCCAGCAATATCCTGACCTGGCATGGCTAAGTCCCAAACTGTCCAAGTCAAAGAAAAAACACAAACCCCAAAGGCCTGTGTCCCCGATCCCACCCCACATGGAGCAAAGAGAAGATCAGAGCTTGGCAAATTCTGGCTGCGGTATTTCTGGGAGCGGTCATTCAAAAAAGACTTTCCCCAGTCCTGAAGAAGTGTCCTTCTCCAATCACAGTTCCCGTCTTGCCCCCAGGCAAGCACCCCAGTGGAGGTACAGTTGTGCCCCGCTTGATGATTGCCCTGTTTAACGATGAATCCGCTTCACGATGATGTTTTTTGCGATTGCAAAACGATGCCCCACGCTGTTTTTATGAGGCATTTTTCGCAAGACAGGCACCGGAAAATGGCTGCGATGATGTTTTTGCAATCGCAAAACGATGCCCCCCGCTGTTTTTATGAGGCATTTTTCGCAAGACAGGCACCGGAAAATGGCTGCCCTATGGAGGATCTTCGCTTTACGATGAGGTATTTCGCCCATTAGAATGCATTAGCTGGTTTCTAATGCATTCTAATGGGCTTTTTAATTTCGCTTGACGAGGATTTTGCTTAACAGCGATTTCAACGGCACGGATTATCTTCATCAAGCGAGGCACCACTGTACTAAGAAAGATACTTCCCATGGGTCGTGGGGAGATTTTTTTGATGAGCCAGGATTCAGGAATATCACAGAAAAGAGGAAGGAAAGGGGGAAAGAGGAAAATAAAGGAAACGAAAGAAAAGAAGAGGTTGAAATTTAAATGTTACACATTATGTAGTTAGTTATAAACAAGTTACTTTTTTTTGCACAGGTGTGGATAGGGACTGCAACCCCCAGAATTCCCTCAGGAGTAGTTGTCCAAAAACACAAAGCTGCAATTCTGATTCTCAGCCATGTGCAACTCCCTGCCAGTCCCATATTTGTTTATTTGCTTCGTGGACAGAAATATAATAAATGCACAGTGTCTTGTGGTGGCACGTGTAAATTACCTAAACATATCACTATGCCCATTTTTGGTCATCCTGGGGAAAATTCCTGCAGACTTCTTTCACTGGGAGGGTGTGAAAAAATGTCATATCGCAAGTAAGAGAACCAACAGGAACAAAACTGTTTTGTGGAGGCAGTGAGTAACATTTTCTCGTCCCTTTCATAACTTCTTTTTTGAAAGCATTTAAAGCTAAGTTTAAAGAATTTTTTCACAGGAAATTTTCAAGTTTTATTCCATTCTCTTAAGATTAGTCTCAGTCCGAAGATTCAGTTTTGTTGAGCTATGGAAAACAAATAGTTTTGCAACAAATAACATCACAAAGCGAGTATACATAATGCGTTATTTTGAAGCAAGAAACAAATTACTTTTTAAAAAAGTGACTTTCCATGCTCTAAAACTGAGGTGATAAATGATCACAAAGGGGGAGGGGGGTTGAGTCTCTTTAGTGGTGGTGGAAGAGAGAGGTTGACCACGTTACATGGCGGACCATGACTCCCATGCTGGCTGGGGATTCTGGGGTTTGTAGTTGAAAGAGGTAACTTTCTGGGCTCTGGGAAACAAGTAAGGGGGAAATGACAAAACATTTATGAAACTATATACAGTCTAGGAAACATGAGGAAAGGGAGAAGCATTTTGTCCTCCGTCTTCCATAAGTGGCTACCTCCAACCTTCTGCATCCCAGTTGCTAGGCAACACAAAAGGACGATGCTGTAGCCCCAGTCTCTTGCTCGTGGGTTTCTCCTCCTCTGCCCTTCTTCACAGCACCCCAAACCCTCCCATCTCACCCCATTTCAGCTTTGAGGAGAGCTTTTAGCCCTACCTCACCCCCTAACTCCAGCACTCACCCATCATCTAACTCACTGGCAGAACTGGGAGGAGAAGAGACCACGACGCTAGGCGCCAGTGCCAGAGCCATGCCACGGACCTAACAGAAGCACACAGATAAAGGCAGCCACCTTTTCTCCCTGTGGTTTAACCAGCCATGGGGCCACCGAAGGTCATCCACGAGGCATTCGGCGTCATCCTACCATTACGACAGGGAAAGCAGCCCTTGTCTGATGCCTCCATCCAGCATCACTGAGCCAGATGCTTCCCCTGAGAGATCCTTCCCATCAGGGAAGTGCCTCTCAGTCACGGTGGGGCACAGAAAGAGAGGAAAGTAACTTTTGGGGACTAACAGCTGGACAGTCAATGGGGTCCCCCCTTTGGGATCTTTTCCATCTCAAAAAGGTCACTTTCTCTACCATTGCTGCGGTTATTAATCCCCCGAGTTCAAATCCTCACGCTTTGTCGCTTTGCGATGATCGGTAAGTGAAACAGGGACCTGATCATCGCAAAGCGAAAAAAAAACCATTTAAAACATCGCAATGCGATCGCTTTTGCGATCGCAAAATCTTCGTCGCTATGCGGTTTGTCACTAAATGGAGCGCCCGTTAAGCGAGGCATCACTGTATTTAAAGTATGTGCATGCTAGTGGTGGGAAAGTCTAATCTTTTTACCTTTCCTTAACTGAAATATCTTCACCTGCACAGCTTCAGAATTAAGCTTATTTTTCAGGGCTGCTGAAACTTATGGAACTCACTGCCACCAGATCTAGTTGTTAAGCGAGGCACCACTGTATTTAAAGTATGTGCATACTAGTGGTGGGAAAGTCTAATCTTTTTACCTTTCCTTAACTGAAATATCTTCACCTGCACAGCTTCAGAATTAAGCTTATTTTTCAGGGCTGCTGAAACTTATGGAACTCACTGCCACCAGATCTAGTTAATAACCACTAGTCATGTGTTTTGTACAAAAAACAGGCCCATCCCTTGTTCTTAATCATAAATATGTATATTGAGCCTCCATGTTTGGGGGCAGTTATCTCACTCGGTGAAACAGTGGGAAGGAAGGAACTGGAAGGGTGCTGAGGGCTTCCCTTAAGGCTTTTTTTGGTGCAGAATTCAAACAATCTTCCTGGGGAATCCACAACAGGTGATAATCACCACCTGCTCTGTTGCCTTCATGGAGAAATCAGAGGCCCGCTTTCATACTTAAACAAAACGTCTGAAATGTGGATTTACTGCAATATGTCAAGAGAGTATTGAACCCCTGAAGAAGCAATGGAGCACATGAATAATGATCAAGTAAGTAATCATAAAATGCATGCAAGGTAGGGATGGCCACGAGCAATGAAATGCACAGATTGTTACAGCTCATCATTCGAGATCAAGTAAATAGGAAAATAAAGGCAAGGAAGATACTGTAAGTGGTTTTCTGGAAACCTGGGGAGCAGGTTTGGATGCGACACTGCCTGGTTGTTTAGAGATGGTTTTGAACCCCAAGTCAAGATAGCTGGGGTGCCATCTGACCTCTAGGAGGAGAGAGGGAGGGAAGGAAAAAGAGAGGAGGAGGAGGAGGAGGAAAGAGAGGAAAGAGGGAGAGGGAGAGGAGGCGGAAAGGATAAAGAGAGTAAGAAGAGAAGCAGGAGCGGAGGAAGGGAAAAAGGACAAGAAGAAGGGATGGAGGGGCCAGGAGAAGGGAAACGGGAGGAGGAAGAGAAGAACCAGAAAGAGGAAAAGCGGGCGCCCAGCGAGCCTCCTGCGCCCGGCAGGCGCTTCATCATCCCACTCCCGCCTGCCTTACCTCCGCGCCGCGTAGGGGAGCCCCGCGTGGTTCCAGGTGCAGCTGCCCGGGTGGGCGAGGAAGAGGAGGATCAGGGCCAGGAGGAAGAGGAGGCGGCGGGGGCAGCAGCAGCGGCAGCCACCCCCGCCCCAGAGCCTTGGGGCAACGGGGAGGCACCCAGGGCAGTCCGGGGGGCGGGCGCCCATCCCTCCCCCGGGGGGCTCCATCCGCCCTCCCCGCCGCAGGGCAGCCTGGAAGGAAGCCCCGGGAGCGGGACCAGGGCTCTAGCGGGGCGATCCGGCGCCTGCCTCTCCTCGCGAGGAGAGGCAGCTCTTCCCCCCCTCCCCCGATCTGGGGCCGGGCGAGGAGGAGGAGGAGGAGGAGGGCTCGGTGCCAGGCGGCGCAGCCGGACGCGATCCGGGCTGGCAAGCGGAGGAGTCCCGGAGGGAGGGAAGGAAGGAAAGAGGGAGGGAGGGAAGGAGGGAAGGAGGGAGGAAGGAAGCGGGCGAGCCGGGAGCCAAGGATCTGCCCGCCCCCCTTCTTGCCTTCCCTTCTTAAACAGACCCCTGCCACGCCCCCCTTCTTGCCTTCCCTTCTTAAACAGACACCCCCCCCCACTCAACAACCCCCGTGTCCCCTTGGCCAAAGCAACGGCGGAGGCGCCTTCCTTTGGAAGCGGGGAGGACTACAACGCCCAGAATCCCCAACCAGCGGGCCGTCCCGAGAAGGGACCTTTCCGAGCCCTTGAAATCCCGGGTCCAGAGATCCAGCGGCGAGGGGAGGCAGCGTTTCTTTGCACGCTGCAAAACTCTCCCCCCTCCTTAAAGGGGCTCCCCTCGGGTGCCTGGGGGGCACGCTCCTCTCTTCCCCCCCCATCCCCAAAGCCCGGCTCTGTCCTCTCTCCTCCTCTCGCCTGGATTAAGGGACCCAAACCATTCCGAAGGGGCTTTAGAAAACGCCCTCTCTCCTCCCTCTGGCTTCTCCTCCCTGCCTGCTTCCACTTTCTCTCTCTCCCCCCCCCAAAAAAAACCAACCCCACTTTGCAGCCTTTTCTTTCCTTCTTATTCCCATCCAACCCTCGCAGGCTCTCCTCCTCTCTCTTGAACAAGCAGGAAAAAAAGAAGTTCGCTTCTCCGGATGGCTTGCTGACTTGTTCGGGGAGTGGAGGTGCTTGAACCAGGGGAGGCGAGGTGGTTTCCAACCCTAGGGCCACCTGTAGAATCAGGGCCTTGCAGAGGATGGACGGACCCATGATGGACCCAGAGACCTGGGTTCAAGTTCCAACTCAGCCGCGGAAGCTCAGGGTAAGACTGTTCCTAGATCATCTCACAGACCTTGAAAGCCCTCCAAAGGTCGCCCTAAGTTGGATGCAACCTGGTGGCACATAACGGTATCATGAATTAGTAAAACCCAGAAGGTCCTGCCCTTAACAGCCCTGCTCAGATCACACAAACGTGACTCCAGGGAGTCAATCCATGTTCAGCTGTCCTCTTTTCCTACGGCCTTCAACTTTTTCCAGCATGATTGACTTTCGCTCATCGGTGCAAGCATTTCAACAAGAACCAAAGCAGAAGCAAAGCAAAACAGGACTTTGCGACCACCTTAAAGCAATAATAATATCAACATGTTGTAGTGCCTTAAAGATTTTAATCTAATTTAATTAAAATGATCCCCGGTAATGGATAGAGTGATGGGCTTGGACGCCGGAGAACAGGATTCAAATCCCCGCTCAGCCATGGAAACTCACTAGAAGAGTGGAACTGGTCAAACCTCTCTGGAAATAACCTGCTTATCTTGGAAACCCTATCAGAGTCCTTATAAGTCAGTTTCTGTCTTGATGGCACAGAACACACACACATTAAAACATAGCCGTTCATCTTTAAGGTGCCACAATGTCTTTTTGTGTGTGTCTTTTCCTAGTGAGTCTTGTCCAAATAATGGTAGCCATGTCCGAGTTGTTTATTGAGGTTATCAAGTCATCTGATTACTTCTTAATTCTCCGCTCACCCTGCTGTTACTGACTCCAGAAGATCAACTCTTGCCGCAGAGGGAAGGATCCCTTCCATGAAACAAAGCAAGGCTGCTGACATGGCCTATCAAGAGGTGGGGAAGAGGACTAGGCAGAAAGAGATGGAAAAAAAGTTACTTTGGAAGACTACAATTCCCAGAATATTCCAGCCAACATGGGAATGGGCTAGGCTGGTGGAGTTTTCTGAGAGGTAATCCCCAAAAGGAACTTATTCCACAGGGCACCCTAAACAAGACACTTGCCTGCTATAAAGAAAAATGTGCCCCATAGCTGGCTTTCCGAATGGGTCATTGTGTCCGTCTGTTGCAGTAAAACCAGCAAAAAGACTCGCAACATCTTTATGCCTAATGGGTTTTATTTGGCACAAGCCCACTTCTTCAGAGGCACAGAGTTTCGTATTCAAGTTGTGGGTTTAGAGCGCACCAGTTATAGGGGTATTCACAGGACAGAATGAAATGTTATATAAATAAGGACAAGGGTTCTGACCATAAACTTTTAAAGGGTTATTCAGTGTCAATATCCCAGCAATACTGAAGTCAGTTACAAAAGTCAGTTTCTCTTCAGTGTTAAAGGAGTGTGTCTGGTTTTAAAAAGTACCCTTTTTGGATTCATGATTTTCTTGGAAAAAAATCCTTAAGCTCTATGCAGAGGGGCAGTAATGCAGACAAGCCTGGGTGGGTGAGAGCTGATTAATATAAGTAATTAATAGAGTTTATAAGCGTAAGGATGTTTCACTGGAGACCAAGACCAAATACACTTTTGTATTTCACGCCTTGTATGGGTGAGAAAGCTGGACAGCAGAGAAGGCTGAAAGGGAGAAAAAAATGGATTTGTTTGAAATGTGGTGCTGGAGGAGAGCCTTCCAGATACCCTGAACTAGCAGAAAGATGAACAAGTGGGTTCTGAATCAAATCAAGCCTGAACTATCTCGGGAGGTAAAAATGTTGAAATTGAGACTGTCCTAGTTTGGGCACATGCGAAGACAGGATTCTCTAGAGAAGACCCTAATGCTAGGAAAGGTGGAAGGCAGCAGGAGAAGAGGATGACAAAATGTAAGATGGACTGACTCACTCATCCATAGGGTCGCCATGAGTCACAGGTGACTTGACAGCCCAGAGTAATATCAGCAGTTCTGACAAGATTCTTTTGAGTCCATGTTAAACTGTACCATTTTCTCTGTGAGCAAAACTTGAGAATATTGTATGTGGGTCGGTATATTCCCCAATAATGTAACATTTCCTGGTGGCTTATTTGCTATGATGTACCATTAAGTCCATTCTGATCTATGGCAACCGTATGCAAGACGTTCAGGAGCGGTGGACCATTGCCACTAGCCAGTGGGTTTTCGTGGCTGACCAGGAATGTAAACCCAGCCCTCCTGAACCCTACTCAGGCACTCTGTTCACTTACACCACGCTGGCTTATAATAAATAAGTATAAAAACAGTTTGCCTCAAAAGTCATTTCAAACAAAGCTTAAAACCACAGAGATGAAAACCTGCATTTAATGCTACAACAAAACAAAACTTTGCAGCAATTAAAACCACAGGTACTTAAAAATACAGGGACAAAGAGGATTGTTTCCAGAAGATCTGCGTAATCAGAAAGATTATTGCCTGGTGCCAAAAGAACAACAGGGATGACGGATGAGTTTCTACACACGTGCGCACGCACACACAGAGAGGACCAGCTGTAGGAACTAACCAAAGGCATTATCAATGGAAAAATAGTTTGAGAGGGGGTTTCTTTTCCCCCCACTGGCCACTTGTTCAATTCTAAATTTAAAAAGGGTGACTGAAAATAAAAGCGACCATAAAAAGTAAACACGTAAATAGAAACATTAAAAGTTCCCTGGATGGTGGTCAGTATTTAGTGTTTAGTGAAGGCTGTATAAATGTAACACCAAGTACGTGAGCCCACCTCCTTTCTCGCACTTACACGCACATACCTGTGTTACTCTTTCCACCGGAAATCTCCCTCCATTCGGACCGTAGACTTTGTACTGGGTTCCACTGGGTCTCGATCGAAACCTCCTTATTTTCTTTCTTCCTTTTTAAAGAATTAAAGTCCAGGAGAGTCTTTCTTGCCAGCATGCTGTCCTGTTCCATTAAGCCCCTCGTTAATTAGTCACAGGGTTTACGGGCTGCTTCCTTTCAAAATGCAATAGGTTTCCTCCTGGGGAAAAGTCAAAAGCAGCTTCAGGAGACAATCTGGGGCAGAGAAGCTCCTCTGGGGGGACCCAAAACCCTTTTCCGTTTCTCCTTTTTTTCCATTCCCCGACTACCTTGCCCAGCACACGCAATGGCCGTGACCGTCCTCCAGAAGATAACAGGTCCGCTTACAGCCTCCAAAGGCTGTCCTTTGCTTTAAAAAGGGCAGAAGTGGGATGTCATAAGAAACACCACAGGGAGATATAAGTGGTACTCAGACTGCTCTGAATATATTTTGGTGTTGCTTGGTTCACCATCTTTTAGGATGGTATTTGTTTGGTCCTTTATAGTATTTGTATACTTACTATTTTTTAGCCTTAAATATTGTCTTTTAATGAAGCAAGCCACCTTGTGTTCTTTTTAAGAGGGGAAAAAGGAGGTCAAATGTTTTAAATAAATAAATAAAAATACCTGGAGAGACAGTATGGTGTAGTGGGTAGAGTGCCTCGGCAGGATCCAAGCAGAAGGATGCCAGGGATAAATGCAGTAGCCTTTTTGGACTGCTCAGATGAGTTGTGATCCTCAGAAATAACAGACATTCACATCCTCGAATGGACCCTAGAGGGTCCGGCTTGTAGATGGTTGCCTTCCACTGCTGGGACAAAGGCACCAGGATCCAGCCAACAGCACAGAAGGCCAAGCCCAAACTCACCCACGGACCAACTGGCCAGGATAAGAGCCCAGGAGCAGAAACCAGAGCCCACCAGGACTGGAATCGGACCGCAGGAGTGGGAGCGCTGAGCCGGATCAGGGATGCTGGGTCAGGAACACCACAGCCTGATACAAAGACCGATGTTGCTCAGGCAGCTTCTGGGAGGGAGAGGGTGTCCTTTCTTAAATAGGTCTCCCCTCCTGATGCCCAGGTGGACCTCAGGAGAGCCCTGGTAGCTGCTACCCTGGCAGGGCTTGATCCTGCCAACGCTGGGCTCTTCCCGGGACCAAGCTGGCCCCGATCCTGCAGCTTGCTAGGGTGGTGGTGCCAGGGAAGCCCTGCCACCACCCAGATCTGGACAATACGCCTGGATTGAACTCATTTTCCCCCCCTTAAAAAAGCAGGGGCTCTGCCACTGAACTCTCGCCATCTTCTAACCTGCGTGAATTCGGGATAACTGGGGGCACGTCAGATTTTATGGAAAGTTAAGGGAGACGCAAGAACAATGCACAGTGGACTCGTAGTCCAGATAGGCGGGGTATAAATCAAAGAACCAATAATAATAATAATTCATAACCCTCATGCTGAGGTTGATGAAAACACCCTACGAAAAGAT